GGCCGTCCCGTGGCACCGAGGCCAGGCTTTTATTTCTGTGGTTAATCCTCACCTGAGGACATTTCCCTTCGGTTTTTAGAGAGAGTGGGAAGGAGGGGGAGAGACCGAGAGAGACATCGATGTGAGAGAGACACATCGACTGGTTGCCTCCCGCACGCCCCCGACCTGTGCCGGGATCCAGCCTGCAGCAGAGATGCGTGCCCTTGACTGGAATCGAACCCAGGACCCTTCCGTCCGGCTCAGCTGCAAGGACAGTGGCACAGGTGTTCCGGAAGCTTCCCTCACCTTCCGGCTGCGCCCTGAGCTCCACCCCAAAGGGACGGAGACGGACGGGCGCGTGACTTCCTCTATCCACCGGGCCACACCAGCCAGGGCCAGATCGGGCTACTGCCCAGGCCGTGCTGCCAGCGGCTGACTGTGGGCACCGCGCGGGGCTCTGCGGTGGCGAAGACCTCGGACCTGCCAGCGCGTGTCCCTTTCCTGACGGAACCGCCCGTCACCTTCTAAACTGACATCGCGTTTGGAGCTTCATTCACGGTGAAGCATCACGCGCCTGGGCACCCACGGGCCTGCCTCCGTCCCTCCCGCGCTGGGTCTGATTGGACCAAGTGGTCTCCTCCCGCCCACCCCAGTGTCCCCTCCTTCTCGGCCCTGGAGCCCGGTGGCCTCTGGGGTTGGACCCCAGACCCTCTGAGGACGCAGCTGCCGTTCCCACCCCGGGGGCCTCACTGGGAGTCCCTCTGGGGGCAGCACGAGGCTGGGGAGACCTTCTCGTGACAACCTACACAGCCACCGACAGGGGGCGCTCTCACGGAGGCCAAGCCCTTCGCTCCTGGACTGGCCCGGGTGGTTGCAGGGGGCAAGGATTTGAAGGTCACCTTGGAGGGGCCCCATGCCGGGGACCCGCGGTGGCTGCTCACAACCCCTCGGACAGGACCCCACACCCAGCTCACCCAGGAGGACGCTCGCCCACCAGGCAGACGGCTGGCTGTGAGGCCTCAGACCTGCAGGCGCCTACGTGAGCGAAGTCGCATGCAAGCTGACCAGACGCAAAGGGCCACTTACGGGTGCTGTCCCTGGAGGCGGCCGCGGTCAGAGTCACCGTGACGACCAGGTGAGAGCGAGAAGAATCCGCGTGCACGGAGGTGGCACGCCTGGCCCGGCGCAGCTCCACCCCAAAGGGACGGAGACGGACGGGCGCGTGACTTCCCCTCCCACGCGGACGAGTGACGCTGAGCGGCTGCACGGAGGGAGCGTCGCTGCCACTGTGGAAAGTCGGTCCTGCGAACACTGGCCGGGCTTCTGAGGAAGGGCCGGTGATGACACGGAGAAACCCACCAGAAACCCAGCCGCCTCGCCGCACGGGCGCGGACCCACAGCTCCTGCTGGGGAGCCCACAGACCCGGCCACACCCTCACGGGAGAGGGTGTCAGCTCCGTCCGGCGCTGCTTCTGAACAGACACCTAACGGGCACAGTCACCGCGGAACAGGGAGCCGCAGAAGCACAGCGCCTAACAGCGTGGAAACCACGGGTGCCATCGCCTGTGCGGGCGCGCTCCGTGCAGACACTGGCTCGGGCTCGATGGTCAGGGCT